TTAGAAACAAACCCACTAAAAAGTTGATGCATTCTCATAATCACAACTGAGCCAGTGATGCAGTCTTTCGCTATGAATTCAGTCTTTGAATTGCTTAAATCTTAGTGCAAAAACTTGCTCCAAATAAACCCTTCATTCATATAAAACCATTGAGAACTTAGAGTGCTGGTAACATTTGAGCATCATTCAGCAGCGATGGCTGATTATATCAAGCATGAACTCAAAGACTGACATTTATTCGCCAATTGTGCCAGACGAACGTCCGTTGATGAGAACATCTCATCCAAATCGAACAGCTCAAGTTGTGGTGGTGGTAGCTCGCGAAAGTTCGGTGGGAAGACCTGAGCATTCCAAAATTATTTTTACCCTACATCCTTCTCATTATCGTTTTCTAAGAAGAATAAGAATGCTTCTTTTCCTCAAAGAGCGTTGTTTTATGCATATTATAACAATAGAAGCATTTTCGTCGTCAATACGCCGATTCGCTGATGCTGTGAATGATGTGCGATTTGACGTGTCACACCGTTTAGTTTAGGCGTTCAAAAAATTCCTTTCTTTAATCCATGAAAAGTGCTTTGTGAATAAATTCCAACGGTTGACCTCATAAGCAAACGCCATATCTTAAATGTCAGTCAAAAGTGCTAAATTTTTTGGTGAATTATTCATGTCGATCCTTACACCATTGCGTGTTATCGGCAATATGTGATGATTGCCACTTTCGCACCACACTGAAAAACACCAGGCAGGGAACATTGTTGGAAGTACCGAATGGAAAAACAAAAATTCTTACGGCTGGCTGAAGTGGCGGCAAGGGAACCTCGAAATGTGGCGTGATTAGTGTCAGAGGCTCGTGTTTGAGTCCGATTTCTTCATAAGCTCTGGAATTCCGATTGCTGATCACTTGGAAGATTAAGCGGTGAAGTGAGAGCGAAACAAAATGGTCATGAAACGTACTTGATGGTTTTCGGCCATATGGACAAGTCCATTGTGTGTAAAGTTGTATCGAACAATTTCATGAAGTCACTACTTTGAACAACCTCGAAATCACCCTCTTGTAAGCAAACTTTAACTTGCTCTGATAGGTAAATATGATCAGGTATTGGATGGGCATCCGCCAGGTCGGGTTCATTGCTGTCCAATTGATTGAGCACAATACCTTCGGTGAGGTATTTGAGAATAACATCCTTCAAGAGAGATTTCTTAACTATCACAGAATGCGATAAAGCTTCTTCTTTTAAATAATGCCACCGAGTCGTCAATTCGATGCAATTATGAAAAGTACCCGTCACTCATCAGCACGGATCATCGATTAAATCACGATGTGATTGAAAATTGAAAGATATGTTTTTTGTAATTCAAGGAGGAATAATCTGAACGTCTGATTAGTTCTGACGATGAATTTAGAGGAAAGAAAACGTGAATTCGCTATCCAATGTTGTTTATGAAATTTCGAGAGGTAAGTAAATGCCTTCAAACTGACCCATATTTTAGCATTTTCTTCCTTCTCCAGATACTGATCGCAGAACATTTGCACTGAACCCACAACGACGAGTTTACCGCCAGGATCCTCGAAAAATCAATCGTTATGTTCATGTTCACATGCCTGCGAGGGGATGAACTAGTACCCTTGAACGGGTTAGCTTGCAACTAAGAAAATTGCTTGGAAAACCAGTATGTCTGTGCAAATCATAAAATGTTAAATTATGTGATTTCAATCTATTTATGCAGTGATCAATTAACCTGTAAGTTATGGAAAGCACATATTGGTCGATTGATTGGATAGCACGCACTTCCGGTTGATAATACGGCTGTTGATAGCCGATTCACCGTCAGAGTTGCGCCAAATGGATAAACGAACGACAATGATCTGCAAAGAAGATGCCAAAATTGTCTTCAAGAACATTCGTCGGTTCGAACAATCGAACCTTTCAGTCTTTTTACCTCATCTGGTATTTGGTAATCACCTATTTTTTTCTATTCTCCGAATGCAGCATTGAATTCACAGGCATTCAGGAAAGGCAAGGAATTTTTGATATCTTCTGCACAAAATCATCAAACTGATAACATTGCA